TAGAGAAAATAGATGGGGTTATGGTTCCTCCTAGAATTGTGTTTGATAATGGGGTAGTAGTAGTGATATATCGGTAAAATTTAGGGGGGAGTATAGGAATGATCATCTAATGGGTTGACGGTGGCATTAGTACCCAAAAGGGGCGAAGGGGGTCCTAACTGAAACCCCCCCGCCTGAGTTGACGAGGTAGCAAGGCATGGCCGTGTCTCCCCTTGGCAGTGCAGGAGCGTTCCGGCGAAAGTGCGGCAGCTAACTCGAATTCAGACCTTGCAGGCAAGAATCTTGCAGTATCCCACTTTGGTGTCGGACGCTGACCTCTGGACCTGGAGACAGGAGCCAAGAGTCCGCCGCAAATCGCAGAGAGCTCGCAAATGCACCGACCGGAGCTTCCAAACAGCAGACCCCTAGATTCGATCCCACAGCCCCGACCCTCAGCTCCGCAACTCTGGCACAGCTCAGGCCAGCGCGCACTTGCAGGCGTAGGGATAATCGTCCGACAAGGTGAACATCACGGTGCTGTACACCCTGCGAGGCAGGACGGATCATGAGACTTGCGAGGGTAGGGACTGTTGACTCATCGCAACAGTCGAAAGCAAAACCGACACTACAAGCAAAGCTAAGCAAGCAATGCTTGCCGCGAAATCAGGACGACCCAAAACAAGTAAAGGGCAGTAAATTGCAACATGAGAAAACGACAACCACATGCAACGACATCAACAACAGCAACCACCACCAGCACGCTGGTGGCAATGACAATATCTCCGGTGGTCCCCTTCGGCTCATCTCAGCTGCGCACCCCGAGACAGTGACATCACCATCCGGTGTTGACACCGCCTTATGGGCAAAACTGCGAAGGTTCGGCTGGGTTTAAGGTGGTAGGATTTGTGGTCTTGGGGTCCGCACTTAGAGTTTAGAGGCTCTTGGGGGTTGGATGTAGGATTCAAGGCTCACGGGTTGCGAATTTGCGGCTGGAAGGTGTGGGGGATGCCAATGACTGGGCTTCACCCGGGCCGAGGGTTTAGGGTTTAGGGTTTAGGGTTTATGGTTTAGAGTGCACCGGCAACTCTCTAGGGAGGCAATCAACGTAGTCGCTTTTCGCCGCTTTTCGAAGATCCGAAGCAGGGGCCTTAATTAAGGGAACCCCTGCCATATGGGAGCTTCTGACAATAAGGGATACCTTGTTTGGGGGTCCTTATAATAAGGATCCTACTATTTAGGGTACTTTATTAGGGTCCCCTATTTTCGGAACCTCTCCCAGATGAAGGCTTATCGGACTCCAGGGATTCGAATCTTGGGAAAAATGAGACCCATTGTCCTCAGAGTCAGGGAACGAACCCGCTTCGACATGATTCCGAATGCTACCAAACGTAGCATTCGAGAATATTACACATCCCCGATGAAACGCCCCAAACCCTCAACCGAAACCCTACAAACCTCCTGAACCCTGATCGCCTCCACCACGTCTCCGAAGACATACCCGGAGGACACCCTGGCACATGGATCTAAGGCCTTTGGGGATTTGGCTTCTACGGTCTTGAGGTCCTGACGTCCCGAGTGACCAAAAACCTGGCACCCGGCAACCCCAGGACCCTAAACCCCACACCCAGAAACGATGGTTTAGGGTTTAGGGTTTAGGGTTTAGGGTTTAGGGTTTAGGGTGAACCTCAAACGCTGCAAAGCTCCGAACCCTTCAGCCTTGCCAAAGCTGAATGCTTGGGTGTTGATGGCATGTGTTCAGAGTTCGAGCTACCTTTACAGGGTTTCCCAGGGTTTCGTACTGTTCCAATGCAGCTGAGCGAGGTTGTAGAGTGGGTTCGTCGGGGTTCCGGTTCAATCGGTTTGACAATGCTCCGTGTGGTGTTGTCTTGCAGTGTTGGCCGAATGCTTTAGTTTCCTACCTATACAAATAGACGGGCGCTGAAGTCTAGATCAAAAAAGCCTAAATTGGCCTAAATGCGACTGAAACATGCTGAAACCGTAAACCTTGGTAGCTCAAAGAAACCTGGGTAATAATTGCACAAAACCCTCCCTGATCCTGCACAGGGAAATCCTCAGCAAGAACCTCAGGGTATCGTTGTCCTTGTCCGGCTCTGGCTGTCTTGTTGCGGCTGTCTTGCTGAGTCTGATCGCGTGATCAAAACTGTTTGTATCCGTCTCAGTTGTACTGCTGGTGCACCTTGTCATGTTGGCTGTGGTGCGCTGCTGCTTCTCTAGCAACTCAGCGACCTAGCACTTGCCTTGTTCTTGTCACTGCTACCTTCATTGCGTATGTGTGCAAAATGCCTCAGTGTGATTATTTCTCTTCTTCATGCCGCTGTCGTGTTTCGTGTCCTTGACAGTTCTTGTCATTGGAGCCCCTGGCTATCAGCATCGTGAAAGCCGTCAATAGTCTGCTTGCTTCCGCTGCTTATGTCATCTTTCATGCTCAAGGCATGGGTGCTTTATCCTGAACACTACCTAACCTATCCCATCTGCACCTGCATCGGCATCACCTCTTACTACCTGTTCAGCTTATCAAGACAAAAAAGACTTACTTCGAGCTACAGAGCCACAGGCAGCCCGCCCAATGGGTGTCAGGGACACCGAAGAAGTGCGGCCAAGACCGCGGCGCGCAAGGCGAACTGACGCATTGGGAGCTTTCCCCTTGCGGAAAGGATCAATCCCGGGAGGGTCTTGCTTGGAGATGGCTTGGTGCCTTAAGAGGGGTTATGATTATGCGTTGTAGGTTGCATCTCATCCTCCCTCACGTACAGGGATTGGGCCTGGGGATTCATGGATCTCCGGGCCTTCCTGCAGCGTCAACAGCTGCCTCTGGAAGATTCGGCGATATCAGGCGCTCTACTCACACACTGCTGGTTCTGAACATACAAGCGGCCACGATGTACCCTCATGGGAGTTGCGTTGAAACTTTACGTACGATCTGCGCCTTGTGCGGTATCATCTCTTCCCCCTGCTCGCATGCTCGTTCTGACGTGCTCGCAACCCACTACTGGTAAGCCAGGGCAGGACAACGCCTTGAGCCGAAAGCGCAAGCGAGCGAGGGAATAGATCCAAGATACCCCACATCTATTCACATCCCAACACTGACCATGTCCGCTGAAACGTGCCTAGCCCTGGATCCTAGGAATGAAGCCCTCATTGGCTGGACCAACCCAACCGAACTCGCATCAGAACCGTTCTGTGCACCGGCATCAAAAGCAGCAGCAAGAAATCACCAGGGCAAGGGTGATCGTCATCGTCGTCGTTATCTTCATCATCATCAGCAGCAGCAGCACCAACAACACCCGTGGCCGTCATCATCGCCACCCTGATCTTCATCATCATCATCATCATCATCATCATCACTAAGACTAAGACCCGCATCTCACACACTCATCGTGAGCAGGATCACCATCGTCATCAGCGTCCCCATGCCCGACCATCATGGTATTGTCCCGATGGCGATGATGGTGGTCGTGAAGATGGTTGACGGCGACCATGAAACCTGAAAAGCCAAAGGAGCAGAATCATAGAGGAAGTTGCTCTTGACAACGACGGGATGCACGGACCTTCGAGGCGAATTTGAGCGGTACTCAGTTTCGCCACACTTCGGTGGAGTTCTGTTCTGCAGGTGGTTCCTGGCATGGCATGCTGATTGTTGCACATGACATGTAGTCTTGTGAGTACTGCTGAGCATCGCCAGCATCGCCCTCGTCACCAAGCACAGAAAGACTAAAGCGAGGAGGAGGGGGAGGTGGAGGTGCAGGGGGCGGAGCAGGAAGGCGAAGAGGCCTAGCAAAAGAAGCAGCGGAGGAGGACGAGGGCGAGAATGAGGTCGTGGGGGACGGCATGTGAGGGATGTGATGGCGATAGCGATGGTTGTGTGCCATAGTGGTACTGGGTGTGCTTGGCTGTGGTAGGAGCAGGAGCGCAGAGACATGTAGAGACTTTGCAACGAACACCGACCCCACAAAGCTTTCCGTCTTCTTCACGCCGAGCGGCTTTACAGTGGGTGGCGTTGGCATGGGCCGCCGAGTAGGTAGAGGAGGCATGGTCCTCGCTTGCGGGGGCTCTGGGGCTCCAGGGGTTTAGGGGTTAAGGGTTTAGGGCTTAGGGCTTAGGGTTTAGGGTTTAGGGTTTAGGGTTACGAGTTACGAGGCATCAGCTTTTCGTGTTGTGGGCGCTGGCTGTAGATTCGAGACCCGCTGAGAAGGGGACGCAGTCGGAGCCTCGGGCGTCTGCTCCTGGGAGGCTCAGGGTTAGGGTTTCAGGCTTTTGGGTTTGGGCGTTAGGGCCTTAGGCCTTACGGTTCACGGTTTCAGATTGAGGTACCACGGCTTTGTAGGTATACATCCTTTGGGGTTTCGTCGGGTTAAGTGGTCTAGGCTTCGATTTTATCCCGCCCCGACCTCTTGATGATCTGCCCATTCGCTGTGGCTGCTGCCGTCGGTGTCGCTGTGGCCGGCATCCTCAGGATCCTCCGGCTTTTTCTGGCTTTTGCTTTAAGGGGCCGGGGGCAGCCGGGCTTAAAGGGAGGAGGGGTAGGGCTTAGAGCCCCTATAGGGGGTGCAAGGATTCAGAGCCTCAAAGCCTGTTTTTGCCCGTCCTCCTGGGGCGTCTCAGTCTCGGAGTCGTCCTCGGAATCTTCGTCGTCCTGATCCACGGGATCGTCTTCATCCGGCAGGTCCTGTCGCTGCCGGGCAGGAGCTCTGAAAAGGGGCAGGGGCTCTGCGCCACTCGCCACGGAACTACCACAAGAGAGCCGTTTGCATTCTTGGCGCGCCCATTGCAACGCTGCGTGACGACGTCCCACCTTTAAACATTGCTGTAAAGTCCAAGCCGAGTCGCTCCCATGCCCGGTAAGCCGGGTATGACCAGGTCCGGAGAAGCCGTGTGTTCGCCAATCCTCCTGCCATATTGCTCTTGCGGATTAGGGTTTAGGGTTTTGTTTTTGACCGGACCTTTTTCCGGTTTAGGGTTTAGGGTTTAGGCTCTTGCTCTTCGTACTGGCATGCTTGTAGGTAAGAAGGACAGAAGCTGCTGTTGATCCACCATGCAGTGCCCGACAGTCTTATCCCCTAAAGCCCTTAAGCTCTAAAACCCTAAGAAGCAAGTATCCTGAACCATGCAACTTGAAAGCCGCAATGAAAACGCTTCGTACAAACACTTATGGAAGGTGCATGGGACCCCTGTAGAGTCTACCCTAAACCCTAAGCCCTAACCCAAAACATCCCAAAACCCTAAACCCTAGAGTACTCTGTTCGAGCCCAAACTCTGAACTGTGGCGAGCTTCCTCGATGCAGCTCGCCGCTGCAGGGCATTCAGAGAACACTCGGCATCTTGGAAGCACTCGCTGTCCTTTTGGGGCGGTCTCAATAGCTTCGTGGAGGGTTCAGGGCTGGAGGGTTTAGGATATATGGCGTGGTGTAAGGAAGTAGGTCTTGGGCAGAGATTTAGTTCAGGGTTTTGGGATTAGGGGCTGGGGATTTTGGCTTCGGGGCTTTAGACATTGAAAGGCTTTGGGGGCAGGGCATAGGGTTGAAGGGGCTTTAGTCTTTAGGGTCTGAGGGTTCAGAGTTTAGGGTTCAACGGTTCCCTCTTCCGATTCTGCTGCTTGTCTGTCACATGCCCCGTGTGCTAGCAATCTTGTCCGAATGCCAGCTCAAAACATTGCGCAGTTTGTATCTACCTTACCTCTGCCTTGGGCGACAAGTCCCCTTGGTGTACATCAAGACCTTGAGCGGCTATGCTTTCCATCGAAACGGCAAGCATCATGAGCATCAGCTGCGAATGCCCCTATCCATGACTACCAGTATCAGACTGCCCTATCTATTACTACCAATATCAGCTGGTGTGCATCACGGGCATCAGTAGTTGCAGATCCACCAGACGGGCAAGCATCATGAGCATCAGCTGCGACTGTCCCTGTCCACTACTATCAGCTGCTGCGCATCACAAGCATCAGCAGCTGGTTGCAGAATCCGCCGGATGGGCGAGCATCACGTGCATCAGCTGCAACTGCCTTCAGCGACTGTTCCCCTTGTTGTACATCAGGACCTTTAGCGGCTATTCTTTCCATCGAAAGGAGAAGCATCATGAGCATTAGCTGCGACTGCCCCTATCCATTACTACCAGTATCAGCTGGTGTGCATCACGGGCATCAGTAGTTGCAGATCCACCAGACGGGCAAGCATCATGAGCATCAGCGGCGACTGCCCCTATCCAAAACTATCAGCTGGTGTGCATCACGAGCTTCAGCAGCTATTTGCAGAATCCGCCGGGTGGGCCAGCATCATGAGCATCAGCTGCGACTGTCCCTATCCACTACTATCAGCTGCTGCGCATCACGAGCATCGGCAGCTGGTTGCAGAATCCGCCGGATGGGCGAGCATCACGTGCACCAGCTGCAACTGCCTTCAGCGACT